GCAGGTCCTTCCTTCTCATCCCTTGCAATTCATCTCTCGTGCAACCCATCCCTTACCTACACGTCCCCCGTGTTCCGTGCATGTGCGCGCACGCGCGTGGCTCGCAGGTACCCGTACGTTACGGGCGCGTCGGTGCTGGCGATGAAGTACAAGGACGGCATCATCATGGCGGCTGACACCATGGGTGAGTCAGCAGATGCCATTTAGTAGTGAGCAGATTCCGTGTTTGAGTCAGCAGATTCCGTGTTTGAGTCAGCGATGCCATGGGTGAGTCAGCAGCTGCCATGGGTGAGTCAGCAGATGCCATGGGTGAGTCAGCAGACGCCTCGGCCGAAATCAGCATGGGTGTTGTAACCATGGGTATCAGCACGATGCAGCAGGTATATTTCCCCCTCACTGAATTCAGCAGGTTTTGAGGCGCCTCAGAAGCAACAGGTGTCTTCCGCCCCTCACTGAACCCCCTACGCACCACTCCCTCCTTTCCGTGCCTGCCTCCCTACATGCATCACTCACCCCCCCCCCATGCAGGAGCATAGCATATGGGCACACGATGCGGCACGAGTTGCTGCAGCGCATTCAGCAAGTGGCGGCTGCACCCGCACTGAACCATGCTTCATTCCTTCCGTTTCCCCCTCGCTGTTTCTGCCTCCCCATACGCATCACTATAATCCCGGTCCCCATCCCCATGCAGGAGCATACGGGCGTACAATGCGGTACAAGTCGGTGCAGCGCATGCAGCAGCAGGTGGCGCCTTTGCCGCCACTGAATCCTATTTCCTTCTCACCGTCCCACACCGTGCAGGAGCATACGGGCGTACAATGCGGTACAAGTCAGTGCAGCGCATGCAGCAGGGGGCGCCTCTGCCCGTACTGAATCCTGCTCCTTGCTTCTCGTTTCCCCCTCGCTGTGTCTGACTCAATATGCGCACCACTTCAACCCCACCTCTTTCAGGAGCATACGGGCGTACAATGCGGTACAAGTCGGTGCAGCGCATGCAGCAGGTGGCGCCTCACACCGTGATGGGCGCTGGTGGGGAGATCAGCGACTTCCACTTCATCCTCTCGCTCTACGAGGAGCTCCTGTAAGTAATCCCTAGTATATACATACATGTATAATATATATTCCGGTCGATCCATTTGCAACCCCCGTCTTGTCTCTCCCTCCTTCCTTTCCAACGGCTGCACCCTCAATCCATGGAAAATCGCTTTCTTTTCCTCAATCCACGTCCGCACAGCACGAACGACTACGCATTTGACGACGGGCACGTGCTGTCCACACGAGAGGTCTTCAACTACATGACGCGTGTCATGTACAACCGCCGCAACCGCTTCGACCCGCTTTGGAACTCCATCGTCATCGGAGGGCTCGACAAGGGCGAACCCTTCCTCGGCTCGGTAAGATTCGTTCGTGGGGCATCTGAATCCGTGTACTTGGTGCCTGGAAATAGAATTTGTGTGTTAGGCACCTCAACAATGCAGTGCATGCAACCGCTTCGACCCGCTTTGGAACTCCATCGTCATCGGGGGGATCCACAAGGGCGAACCTTTCCTCGGCTCGGTGAGATCCACGGCGGTGGTATCTGACAGGCTGTAGTGGCGCGGGATGCGTGAAAGCTGTTGCATTGCACTCGGTGTGCCTCTTAGTGGATGAATTCACGTGTTTCTTGTGCTCTGTATCGCTGATCCTGTCTCTTCCTTTTTAAACTCTTGCTGCGTGTTCCAGTCTCCGCCTTGCGGGCCTTGGCACTACACGGACAACCACATCACATGCTTGGAAAGTTGACAACTGTTTCGCATGCCCCTACCGCCACACGGATCTCTCCTGTGCACGGATCCCTCTCGCAGGTGACAATGATTGGCGTTCACTTCACGGACGACCACATAGCAACGGGGTTTGGCAGCCACATGGTGCGCCCGCTCTTCCGCAACGAGCACCGCAACGACATGAGTGAGGAGGAGGCAGTCAAGCTGCTGGAGAAGGGGCTGCGAGTGCTGTACGCCCGCGACAGCAGCGCGCTTAACAAATTCCAGGTTGGTGGAATGGTTTAATGTTGTGAAGTAGACAGAATCGCTTTTGAGAACAAATTAAAGTGCTTGCATGGACATGAGTGAGGGGGGGGCAGTGAAGCTGATGTAGAAGGGGCTGCTAGTGCTGTATGCGTGCGACAGCAGCGCACTCAACAGATTCCAGGTTGGTGAACTTGTTTCAATTCGCAGTATATTCATAGTATGTATGTGTGGAACCTTGTGATTTTCTCTGTACTCTTTTTGTCCTTACTTCTTTTTTTTCGCTTGGTTTTATGTATGTTGCGCCTCTTCTGTTGAATGCTGTTTGTCCATGCAGATTTCAAAAGTAACAGCAGAGGGAGTGACAATATCGAAGCCATTTGCGCTGAACATTGAATGGAACTACGCCCATTTTCAGAACGCAGTGCCTGATAAGTACAGTGGTTCCTGGTAGCAACAGAGGCCTCTCTTACCGAATGCGTACATACTTGAGTACAGTAGAGGCTCGAGATAAGGACCATGTTGACACTTACCTCCGGTATTTGGTGCTCTTTAACCTTCCAAATGCTGTAATACGATGAATGCATGATTGTACAGAAATGGAGCATCCCCTCCCCACTGATGCCGAGTATTCTGAGTCAGTGAAAATCATGCTGTGATGCCATGAGGCGAGGGAATGTCCTGTAGGTATCCCCAGGCCCCAGGGTCTTTCAACAATCTAAATAACCACAATGTGGATGGATTGGAAAACAAGGCGGGAGCTGTGAATCGAGCTTTACCATGCGTGGTCAACGATGCTAATTGTTGCTTGGACAAAACGAGTGACATACCAGCATATTGATGTACAGTTCCCAGGCTTTCACACGTCCAACTGCATACTCCGCCGCAAATCACCTTGCGCAGTGTCCAGCCAGTTTCTATGACAAATAAAGCCATCAGAAAGCAACTTGGTGGGCACGTTATGGCTACTAAGAAGGCGCAAACAAATGCTTTGCATATTAAAGATATGCCAAGACCTGTAAATGTAAACTTCAATAGCAATACAATTGTTTGACTATAACAATACAGCTTTGTTTAGGCTGCAGAAGCTTGTAGTTTGATATGCTGTATCGTAACGGTTGATTTGCATGTTCAAATTCATGTTTTCGCAAAAATGTTCCCGACCAGAGGCAGCAGCGTGGATCTCGTGCTGCCGTCGATTGTTTCGAAGCAATCGTAATCCGACGAAGAGTTCGTCAATCCGTAAATATTGACATGATTGGTTGATTGGCTCATCCTCTCTTCCTCGCCCGATGCGTTGGGTTCATTCGCTGCATCAAATTCATGTTTTCGCAAAAAGGTTCACGACCAGTGGCAGCAGCGTGAATCTCGTGTTGCCGTCGATTGTTTCGAAGCAATGGTAATCCGACGGAGAGTTTGTCAATCCATATATATTGACATGATTGGTTGATAGCTTTGTGTGTTTGGCTCGTCCTTTCCTCCTCGCCCCATGAGTTGTTCATAAAGTAGCTCCTGCTCGCTGTCTATTACAAGTTTGGGTCACAGCACAGCCCATATTCGGCTATTCCAAGACATTGTGTACCTATCTCTCTTGAGCTAGTAGCTTTCTGCCGATCACCGCTCGCTCTTGACGATATCATTCGCTTCACGACTTTCATCTCCTAGAACCATGTCAGGCCGAGGAAAGGCTGCTGGAAAGAAGGCGGTGAGCAGGTCAGCAAAGGCAGGTCTTCAGTTTCCTGTGGGTCGTATAGCCCGTTTCCTCAAGGCTGGAAAGTATGCCACTCGGGTTGGTGCCGGTGCTCCAGTGTACCTTGCTGCAGTCCTCGAATACCTAGCTGCTGAGGTGCGTACGCCGTCATCAGTGAATTTTGCGTTTTCCCTTATTGCGCTTGAGCGATTATAGTACTAAACTTTTGGCCGACTTTCTTTCAGGTTTTGGAGCTTGCCGGGAACGCAGCCAGGGACAACAAGAAGACTCGCATCGTTCCGAGACACATTCAGCTGGCCGTGAGAAACGACGAGGAGCTCAGCAAGCTATTGGGAGCGGTTACCATTGCAGCTGGTGGTGTTTTACCAAACATTCAGTCCGTCCTACTTCCGAAGAAATCATCGGCTGACAAGGGCGAGACCTCAGAAGCTTAGTTCGAAGTAGTTTCTGTTTTGTGGCTTGGTACTGAGGTTCTCATGCCGCACATGCTTTTAGGAATAATATACTGACTAGTTCTTCGACTGGGTTTCAACTTACAGAGTGATAACGTTGTATGACATGCATTCGGCTTCTGGTGTATTATGTTACTGGGAAGTTATTGTTAATTAACAAACATTTGCAAAGAATTATTATACTGGTACAGAAGTTCACGACCATAGACCTATTTCTGTACTGTTCGCGTTAAAACAACTTCCGTCCGTCCTCCCGCCAGTCAACTTTCTAGACCAGAGAGGTGTCAGGTCCGAATGGCATCGCAACCACTGATAGCTGCATGACTCAGGCTCTTTGTCGCGACTATAAGCTGTTTGGCGGAACTTAGTGTCAGGCCTAAGTGGTGATCACTTTAGCACTTAATGTCAGACTTTTAGTTCCAGGTACTACGCGTAATGTTAGCACGTCACTGCTGTTACTGGCTTTGTCCTCACGAACTGGCGACTACTGCCTCATGGTCGATACAGGAAAACATCTTCTCCTCCCCCCAGACGGCGGGCAGCGTGCTACACTTCTACGATGTGCGCACCACGCCCAAGCCGCTGCGCCTGGTGTCGTGTCGCCAGACTCACCGCCCTCCCTGCTCGCCCTCAAGTTCCGCTCCTCCACGCGCGTGCCTCTCTTCGGGGACAACGTCTCCATGTACGCACCATGTACGTGTTTCATGTCCCCATACCCTCCTCGCACAGCCGTTTCAAAATGATCAAAGTAACTGTTGTTGGTGCATGTGCCTCCCGTGCTTCTCTCCTCCCAAGTTCCGCTCCTCACATTCTGCTGCTGGGCTGTCCCCCTCATCCCGTTCCCCCCTTCCGCTCTGTGTCCCCTCCTCTTTCCCCCCCTCCCCCTCTTTCCCCCCTGGCAGCAACGGCATGGTAGCAGACGAGGATCACATTCTGCTGGTTCTGTCCAGTGGTCGCCTGCACCTCGTGTCCTGGCGCGGCCAGGTGAGTGCGCAGACTGGTGGGCAGGTGGGGGGTGAGAGCATGGACGGGCAGGTGAGAGGGTGGGCGGACAGGTGGGGGCTGAGCAGAGGGGAGGGAAAGACGAGGTGAGCGGACGGGGAGGGATTGAGGCAGTGAGAGGTGAGGGTAGGGAGTGTTGAGGTGGGGCGAGGGGTTGGAGAGGTGTGGGAAGGGGATCAAAGAAGTGAGGGCGGGAAGAGGGACTATACAGTAGTACAGTGGTACAATGGACGTACGGTGAAGAGGGACATACGATGATCCCTCCCCTCCCCTCCCCTCCCCCTCCCCTCCCCTCCCCCTCCCCTCCCCACTCCATTCCCTGCTCCCTGGTCCGCTGATGCTTCCCTCCCCTCCCTTACCCACCCCATTCCCCGCTCCCTGTTTCGCTGCTGCCTCCCTCTTCTCCCGTACCCACCCCATTCCCCGCTCCCTGTTTCGCTGCTGCTTCCCTCCGCTCCCTTACCCACCCCAATCCCCGCTCCCTGTTCCGCTGCTGCTTCCCTCTTCTCCCGTACCCACCCCATTCCCCGCTCCCTGTTTCGCTGCTGCTTCCCTCCGCTCCCTTACCCACCCCATTCCCCGCTCCCTGTTCCGCTGCTGCTTCCCTCTTCTCCCGTACCCACCCCATTCCCCGCTCCCTGTTTCGCTGCTGCTTCCCTCCCCTCCCTTACTCACCCCATTCCCCGCTCCCTGTTCCGCTGCTGCTTCCCTCTTCTCCCTTACCCACCCCATTCCCCGCTCCCTGTTTTGCTGCTGCTTCCCTCCCCTCCCTTACCCACCCCATTCCCCGCTCCCTGTTCCGCTGCTGCTTCCCTCCCCTCCCCTCCCCTCCCCTCCCCACCCCTCCGCTCCATTCCCCTCTCCTCCTCTCCCCCTCCTTCTCCCCTTCCCAGCTGCGTGACACGGCAGACCTGAAAATTATTTTGAGGACTGGCCCTTGAAGCCCTTGAATCCGTCGATTTTTTTTCACGGCTTCAGTCTCAATCTTACCGTCGATTCTCTGCTGTTGTACTTCTAACGCCTTTAATCTCTCCAGGCAGCATGATTCGACACGACTACCGCGGATTTGGCATCCCGCCTGGGCCGCCGCAGCTCCCGGAAATGTTCCACGGTCCCACGTGCAGCCACGGGAAGGTTAGAGAGGACGAGAAGGTTGATTCTGGCAGTGAGCGCACTGGCGTCATGTGCGGCCCGATGGTCCCCGTGGATCGCGGACTGGATCCGATCAAGCACACGCGGTGAGTGATTCTGCTGACACGGATTCTTATCTCTAGCACACGCAGTAAAGGTCGATGTTTTTTTGCTTTCATTTTTTCGTTCATTTTTTCGTTGTATGAGATTGTCGAGTGGTCTGGGTCGTATTCTTATACTCGCCATACAGCATCTTTCTTAGGATCGTAAACACCTTAGTCGGCAATAGTCTACTTGCTATTGCTTATCGTGTTCTCCACGATCTCACAAATCCAATGATATGCGCAGCTCTGCTTGAAGTTGTCAATACACACTTCAGCAATTTTCAGAATCTGATTGGTTTCAATGTTGTGATTTCCAGAATGAGTACAAGCAGTTTTATAGTCAAGCAAGACACAAAATGCGATTCGTAACTTCACTTGTTTCCCAAGTAACCGCGTGCGCCTCGTTTCACCCCGAGTCGCACACGGAACCGAACCGAATTCGCCGAACACTCCTCGAGTCCGAATCCAGCACCTTCTCGAACACGCCTCAGTCTCGAACCACAATTTCCCCTTGTCAACTCCAATCTCGATACTTCTTCACTCTTCTTCCTCCATTTCTCTAGTTTCTTCCCAATTTCTCTCTCGCTTCTCACGCCGTAGCTTCCATTCTCCACCGTAGGCCGATTTCCACCGTTTCACCTAGAATCATCCACGTGCTTCCATTTCGCCGTCATTCCGCCGTCGTAGAAGCTTTCGCCGTAGGTTCCGTGGTTGGGCGAACCAACCCTAACAATCTCCCCTGTGGCTCGTCAACCACGAACTCTACTCGCACTCCTTCCCTGCTCCTTGTAGCCTTCACGGGGTCTAACTTGGCTTCAAGCTCCCCTGCAGCTCCTACACCTTGAACCTCTGCTTACGTGTCTTGAAGTTGAGCGCCTTTACATCCAAACCTTGAGTGATTTTCTGAAGCCTCTCACTTCTCCTCGGCAACTTAAAGCCAGGATCTCAAGTAGTTCAATTGTTTTGCAGTTGGTGAGGGGAGCTGGGCTGCGATTGGTTAACGAGGTGAACAATCTGACGAGGTGTGAAGCGAGGGGTGCGAAGTAAAGACAAATCGCAAGTTCAGTCCGAACCAAGCAAGGCTCGGAAACTGGTTCGGTGACGAAGCTCCAATGCCTGCAATTTCTCGTCACACACAACAATCTCATGTACCAGCAAAATGTTTTGCATTTGCTCTAGGGGCAAAATCGTGGGTGTGCCGCACGCTCACTTTCCTAACCAGCCAGTCAATTCGCCTACAAAAATAGGGTAACAAGCGCTGCAAGTGTTTTGCAATTGAAGGCCAATTCTCTTACTTGAGATCCTGGCTTTAACACCCAACACATCTCGGGTCTCGTACCCCTCAACGTGTTCCTCTTTCGTAAGCACTCGCCCCTTTGCAGTTGCATTCACCTTTGATCCCTTCACCATGATGTCCCCTTTCACAGCTTCAACTCCCACACACTTCGCATTTACTGCTTCATCTTCAACCACGATCACTGCTGCAAAAGTGTTGACATCGTCTCCATCTCCACCATTCACTGCTGCTACCTCCATGGTGACTATCTCCTCTTCCAGTTTCACTGCTGCCTCCACACTTGCTGCCGTATCATCCAAGCCCTCACTCTCATCATCCTCAACCGATAACTCCTTGAATTTTCCCATCTCAGCATACTCAGGATCCTCATAGATCTCATCCATATCATTCGTCGCTATCACGTTCATCTCATAAAATCCGTCACTGAAGTAACCCTCTGCGTACTTCTCCCACTCAGGGCCAAACACTGTAACCTTGCCACTGTCATAAAATATCTTGCACCCCAACTCATCAAGCTGTGACTGACTGACCAAATTCACCTTCAAATCCTCAACCAAGAGCACATTCTCCAGCTTCACCTCTCCATACGGACTCTGCAGCACCACATCACCCTGTCCTGTAACTGGTAACTTCCCACTGTTACTTTGCAGTATATAACGCTCACTCGACTCCCTCACGTTCTCCATCCAATCTGACCTGAATGTCATGTGACGCGTGCACCCGCTGTCCATGAACCATGCCGTCTTCTCACGTCCGTCCTTCTGCCGAACCTCCTTTGGTAAACGCACCACGTTCGCACGATGCGCTCCTCCAAGGATCACATCATCCTCGTTCGCTTCCGCTACATTCGCCTTAGCCGCCACATTCCTCTGCTGCGACGGACCCTTGTAGCTCCTGCTGTTCGGATTGGAGTAGCACTCTGCGGCACGATGCCCATAGCGCCCACAATAATCGCACTTGCCGCCAAAACCTCGTTTCTGTTGCCACTCCGCTCCCCTGTTTTCTCCATCTTCGTTCTCCACCGCTTTGCCCTTGTAGTTTCTGCTTCGCGGGTTTTCGTAGCAGTTTATCGCCTTATGCCCCCTCTTTCCACACTGGTAGCACACTCCAAACGCCTTCGTTGCATTCACCAAAGCCGGCCTTTCCTCGTCGAATTCAGTAGCTGCTACTGCCGCTTTCTTCTTCCTCATCTCCTTCACCGTCTCAAGCGATTGCAGAATCTCCTGCAGCTTCGTCAAACTCTCCGGCGGTTGGTACATAAACATTCCAATGTCGGATTCCCATTCTTTAGGAAGGCCTTGGATGATATAGTCAATCATCTCGTGCTCCGTCTCCGCGGCTCCCATCACCCGCAAATCGTCGTTGTAGCTTTTCGCCCTGTTGATGTAGGTGATGATTTTCTCGCCTTTCTCCATGCTCAGCATCAGCAGTTGCTTCCTAATCGCCTTCTTGTTGACATCGTTCGTGCCCATGTACGTGGACTCCAGGTACTCCCACGCTTTCTGTGCAGAGTTCAACTCCCCTGCAAACTGGTCCAAATCCACCGCGATTCCATCGGCAACTGAGTGACAAAGCTGAAAGAACGCTTGCTTACTTTGTTTTTTGAACGCCGCTATTTTCTCCTTCGTACCCGCCGGGGATGGCGCAACTCCCTCCATCGTCTCCTCGTCGGGACGGTAGTACGGCAAGAGGTCAACCTCCTCTGCCCTCCGAATAAACTTCTTCCGCCACACGTTGTAGTTGCTTCCGTTGAAGCGCTGGGCTTCACTGAGCCCGATCGTCGGTTTCGCCACCAATCGGCCACTCGCAAGGGCCTCGAGAAGAGCCTTCAACTGCGGGTCTCCAAGACTCACACTGGAACCCGAACTCGCCTCGTCTCCCATGGCGTAGGTGTGAACGACTCCTCTTCTCCACTAATTTCACTTAGCGCACCAAGTGAATTCACCGCGATCGACGAGCTCGTTCGCCAAGCTCTGATACCAGTTCTTAGGATCGTAAACACCTTAGTCGGCAATAGTCTACTTGCTATTGCTTATCGTGTTCTCCACGATCTCACGAATCCAATGATATGCGCAGCTCTGCTTGAAGTTGTCAATACACACTTCAGCAATTTTCAGAATCTGATTGGTTTCAATGTTGTGATTTCCAGAATGAGTACAAGCAGTTTTATAGTCAAGCAAGACACAAAATGCGATTCGTAACTTCACTTGTTTCCCAAGTAACCGCGTGCGCCTCGTTTCACCCCGAGTCGCACACGGAACCGAACCGAATTCGCCGAACACTCCTCGAGTCCGAATCCAGCACCTTCTCGAACACGCCTCAGTCTCGAACCACAATTTCCCCTTGTCAACTCCAATCTCGATACTTCTTCACTCTTCTTCCTCCATTTCTCTAGTTTCTTCCCAATTTCTCTCTCGCTTCTCACGCCGTAGCTTCCATTCTCCACCGTAGGCCGATTTCCACCGTTTCACCTAGAATCATCCACGTGCTTCCATTTCGCCGTCATTCCGCCGTCGTAGAAGCTTTCGCCGTAGGTTCCGTGGTTGGGCGAACCAACCCTAACAATCTCCCCTGTGGCTCGTCAACCACGAACTCTACTCGCACTCCTTCCCTGCTCCTTGTAGCCTTCACGGGGTCTAACTTGGCTTCAAGCTCCCCTGCAGCTCCTACACCTTGAACCTCTGCTTACGTGTCTTGAAGTTGAGCGCCTTTACATCCAAACCTTGAGTGATTTTCTGAAGCCTCTCACTTCTCCTCGGCAACTTAAAGCCAGGATCTCAAGTAGTTCAATTGTTTTGCAGTTGGTGAGGGGAGCTGGGCTGCGATTGGTTAACGAGGTGAACAATCTGACGAGGTGTGAAGCGAGGGGTGCGAAGTAAAGACAAATCGCAAGTTCAGTCCGAACCAAGCAAGGCTCGGAAACTGGTTCGGTGACGAAGCTCCAATGCCTGCAATTTCTCGTCACACACAACAATCTCATGTACCAGCAAAATGTTTTGCATTTGCTCTAGGGGCAAAATCGTGGGTGTGCCGCACGCTCACTTTCCTAACCAGCCAGTCAATTCGCCTACAAAAATAGGGTAACAAGCGCTGCAAGTGTTTTGCAATTGAAGGCCAATTCTCTTACTTGAGATCCTGGCTTTAACACCCAACACATCTCGGGTCTCGTACCCCTCAACGTGTTCCTCTTTCGTAAGCACTCGCCCCTTTGCAGTTGCATTCACCTTTGATCCCTTCACCATGATGTCCCCTTTCACAGCTTCAACTCCCACACACTTCGCATTTACTGCTTCATCTTCAACCACGATCACTGCTGCAAAAGTGTTGACATCGTCTCCATCTCCACCATTCACTGCTGCTACCTCCATGGTGACTATCTCCTCTTCCAGTTTCACTGCTGCCTCCACACTTGCTGCCGTATCATCCAAGCCCTCACTCTCATCATCCTCAACCGATAACTCCTTGAATTTTCCCATCTCAGCATACTCAGGATCCTCATAGATCTCATCCATATCATTCGTCGCTATCACGTTCATCTCATAAAATCCGTCACTGAAGTAACCCTCTGCGTACTTCTCCCACTCAGGGCCAAACACTGTAACCTTGCCACTGTCATAAAATATCTTGCACCCCAACTCATCAAGCTGTGACTGACTGACCAAATTCACCTTCAAATCCTCAACCAAGAGCACATTCTCCAGCTTCACCTCTCCATACGGACTCTGCAGCACCACATCACCCTGTCCTGTAACTGGTAACTTCCCACTGTTACTTTGCAGTATATAACGCTCACTCGACTCCCTCACGTTCTCCATCCAATCTGACCTGAATGTCATGTGACGCGTGCACCCGCTGTCCATGAACCATGCCGTCTTCTCACGTCCGTCCTTCTGCCGAACCTCCTTTGGTAAACGCACCACGTTCGCACGATGCGCTCCTCCAAGGATCACATCATCCTCGTTCGCTTCCGCTACATTCGCCTTAGCCGCCACATTCCTCTGCTGCGACGGACCCTTGTAGCTCCTGCTGTTCGGATTGGAGTAGCACTCTGCGGCACGATGCCCATAGCGCCCACAATAATCGCACTTGCCGCCAAAACCTCGTTTCTGTTGCCACTCCGCTCCCCTGTTTTCTCCATCTTCGTTCTCCACCGCTTTGCCCTTGTAGTTTCTGCTTCGCGGGTTTTCGTAGCAGTTTATCGCCTTATGCCCCCTCTTTCCACACTGGTAGCACGCTCCAAACGCCTTCGTTGCATTCACCAAAGCCGGCCTTTCCTCGTCGAATTCAGTAGCTGCTACTGCCGCTTTCTTCTTCCTCATCTCCTTCACCGTCTCAAGCGATTGCAGAATCTCCTGCAGCTTCGTCAAACTCTCCGGCGGTTGGTACATAAACATTCCAATGTCGGATTCCCATTCTTTAGGAAGGCCTTGGATGATATAGTCAATCATCTCGTGCTCCGTCTCCGCGGCTCCCATCACCCGCAAATCGTCGTTGTAGCTTTTCGCCCTGTTGATGTAGGTGATGATTTTCTCGCCTTTCTCCATGCTCAGCATCAGCAGTTGCTTCCTAATCGCCTTCTTGTTGACATCGTTCGTGCCCATGTACGTGGACTCCAGGTACTCCCACGCTTTCTGTGCAGAGTTCAACTCCCCTGCAAACTGGTCCAAATCCACCGCGATTCCATCGGCAACTGAGTGACAAAGCTGAAAGAACGCTTGCTTACTTTGTTTTTTGAACGCCGCTATTTTCTCCTTCGTACCCGCCGGGGATGGCGCAACTCCCTCCATCGTCTCCTCGTCGGGACGGTAGTACGGCAAGAGGTCAACCTCCTCTGCCCTCCGAATAAACTTCTTCCGCCACACGTTGTAGTTGCTTCCGTTGAAGCGCTGGGCTTCACTGAGCCCGATCGTCGGTTTCGCCACCAATCGGCCACTCGCAAGGGCCTCGAGAAGAGCCTTCAACTGCGGGTCTCCAAGACTCACACTGGAACCCGAACTCGCCTCGTCTCCCATGGCGTAGGTGTGAACGACTCCTCTTCTCCACTAATTTCACTTAGCGCACCAAGTGAATTCACCGCGATCGACGAGCTCGTTCGCCAAGCTCTGATACCAGTTCTTAGGATCGTAAACACCTTAGTCGGCAATAGTCTACTTGCTATTGCTTATCGTGTTCTCCACGATCTCACGAATCCAATGATATGCGCAGCTCTGCTTGAAGTTGTCAATACACACTTCAGCAATTTTCAGAATCTGATTGGTTTCAATGTTGTGATTTCCAGAATGAGTACAAGCAGTTTTATAGTCAAGCAAGACACAAAATGCGATTCGTAACTTCACTTGTTTCCCAAGTAACCGCGTGCGCCTCGTTTCACCCCGAGTCGCACACGGAACCGAACCGAATTCGCCGA